AGCTGTTTTCTATTAGAAAATCTAAGGCTTCTTCTGGAGTATAAGGTACACGTTTAGCTTCCTTTTTTTCTTCTTCCACGTTTTTTAAATGCGCCTTCTTTGCAGCGACCGCTGCAGCATGGACAAGAAGATTTGCATTATTGCCATTGTCTGCCGAAACCTCTGCTGCTAATTTGCGCTTTAAGCGAGAACTACCATCGTCGTAGCATAACCGTGGACGTCCAACAGTTTTGGCGGATTCATCAACAAAGTTACATGCTTTTAATTGTAGTTGCATACGTGATGAAAGCCAACTTTGATGTTTCGTTTTAAATCTTGTAACCATTCGATTACATTTGTTTAAATGAAAATTTACATAAGCAACAAAGTTCTTAATTTTCTTTCGAATTGACTCCTCCATGATTTGGTTAAGCTTCCTGTGACTTTGCTGCAGCACAAAATTAGCGAGGCCTTCGGTTTGCCGATTATTTGCTAGCCAAAATTCAAGCATTTCAGCGTGACTCATGTCAATGTTGTCTGGAAAAAGTCAATTTTCAGGAAAACGGGCAAAAACGGGTCAATAAGATTAATATCCTCGTATTATATACATATTGAAGAACCACATGGTGTTAATAGTTACGACAATCCACGACAATCCAACATACTTTTATTCCACGAAACACAACAAGTTTGAGGTTAGAATCGCTAAAAACATCACTTTATAAAAACACATATAAACAAAGACACACCACATAAAACAAGTATTGCGTGATAACAATTATATTATAAATACCTTCAACTTCGTTTTCCATTTTAATTTGATTAAATATTCGAGGAATAACACAAAATACACCAGTTTCAAATGTGCTCTTATTTGCAAAGCATTCACAATCAAAGTTTGTGGTAAATGATCAGCTGACTTCCAGGGCTGCACAAATTTGCAGTGCTTCGATTTCAACAATACGACTATGCTTTTTAACTGCCCTAGTTAATATTCTATTGCAATAAAATATTATTTTTGCAAAACTCTTAAAAAAAAAATTTGAATTTCTGCCAAAATTTTTGGCATTTGGACCAGTGTGCAGTGGTTGCTTTTATGTAGAACTATTTAAGGAACAGTTTAAAAGGGTAATAACAATTCAAGCAGTTTGTCTTTAAAATTTATTAGAGTTCCTTGGTTATATGTTAGATTATAAGCTTAATAATAATATACTTATAGTTTAGAACAAAAATTATATTAATCTTAAAATATATAACGTTCACCCAGAGAAAAAATCAAGTATTGTGTGCTTGAATCAAGTATTTTGAGTATCAAAACTTCGCCAAGCTTGGAAAATCACAGTCTCGAGAAAATAGTACAGCTTTTAACGAGATTTTTAAGACAGAAAGTACTCGATTTTTAGAACCTTTCGGTCTACAATCACGTATGAATAATTCTTAAATCTAGTTATATTTGTACTAAAAAACAAATACGATTAATTAATATGCTAATAAGAGTAAGAGAAATAAGTATTGGAAATTAAAAATGAATTAAGCGAGATATATCTAAATTAGATTAATATAATAAGTTTACTTACGACTTGCCGCTCACGGGCATAAACATTGTGTATTTTATGCGCCTTATAAACCGAGGACTTTCGGAATAAACAGTTGGGAATTTTTACAGTTGACAGATATTTAAACCCACGAAATGCTCAATGTAAGACTTTTTTCAGTACGAACGGCTTAAAATGGTAAGCTTGAAATTGTTTTTAAATCAGGACTGTTTGTACCTGACTTAAGCACGGGGTTTTTCCCTGAGTTTATGTATGTGGTTATTGTATCATCCAAGATTTAGTTTTTTTACTTACAATTTTCGCAGGCATTATCTGATTCCTTTTCAATTGCGCTCTTTTTTCAGATTCCTCGCCCTTTTTCCTCTCCAAAATCAACATTCAAAACGTTCTGCCGACTGTTTTGGACAAAGCGTTTGTTAGGACAATCCCTCCATTCCAGCCAAAGGACTCCACCGTTCGGGAACACAAAACCTCCTGGCAAGTGTCACTTAAAGGCATATCGTTTGTTTTTTCTTCCCCGAATTCTTTTTAGCGAAACTGCAATTCGAGAAATGCAGCCAACTTTTTTCTGCCAGTACCAAAACACTTTTCTTTCGTTCATTTCGGCTCTCAGTCCTCCCCGCGCTTTCAATTTGTGTGTACATAAATTTCGAAATGGACTTCTCGTGTTGGGGCCCCCGACAGCAACAGAAAAGAAATGTTTAAAAAAATGCGAGCAAAAAGCGGAGAAAAATAAATAAAAATTGGGTGGACCGGCGTGGGGAAAGCCCGAAAGAAATGGCGTGCGGAAACAAGTGGCCATGACTGCAGGAACAACAACAACGACAGCTGGAGATAGTGTTCCACGAGAGAACTGCATAAATAACGCAACAAAGACCCTGGACAAACGCCAATCGAAAGTTGCGTTCTGGGTGTATGAAAAATTTACGAGGCTTGGTTCCAAAATGCCCGCCAAGAAATTTAGAAGTACGTAAATTGTGCCAAGGAATTTGAATATATTTAAAAGCGCTACAATTTCGACAATGTGGGCTAAATTCCTAGCATTCAACTCGATTGTAGGTATAACTTAAAGCGTTGACCAAAGGGGCGAAGCTTTTCCTTTGATTGTGTGGCGATTTCCTTGGCCAATGGAGCATGAAATTACAGAGGGAAGTGGCAATCGAAGGGGCTGTACTTGTGTGAACATGGAAATGCTCACATAACCATGCAACACACGACACTGGGAAACTAAGATTGCTTTCCAGACCTTAAAGAATATTTAAAAATATATTATTGATATAGTTAATTTCAAAACATATTTTTCAAATATTGTCAAAAGTCTGTCCTCAAATGTTTTCTTTTTGTTCCCTACACTTTTTGTTGAACAGTAATATAAATGGTTATAAGAGAGTCCAAAAAATATTATTATTATCAGAGGCGGCTCACAAATCACTTGGGTTTTGAAATCACTTTTAAAGATAATTGTATGTGTCTAAAAGTATGCAACAATATATCTTAAGCTTAGAAGAACAATAAATTAGGCCAGAAAAACGGCTTTTCTTTACTTACTGAATACTTTTGGACATCTTAAGCAACATTCCATTTTAAAGAAATGGTGTAACACCTTAAAAAAAGTTTATGGTTTCCTACCAAATATTTTTGCAAGTGCACTAAAGTTCAAATGTTAAAATCTTCATACCACTTAAGACTGCTTCGAGTTCCGCTTGAATGGAAAAGGGTCCGGTTCAGAATTGACCTTAGCTCAGGAGCAACTGAGGCAGGAGGGAGTCACACCAATTGCGATTGACTGGGAAACCGGAAAGTGTCCATCAGGCGTGACTCGCGAGGTGAGGAGCACTGGGAAACCGAACGGAATGTCATAAAATCTAATAAAATAAAGAGCAATCATATCAAGGCGTTGCGCGACTGACGTCGATTTCCACAGCTGAATCACTAATTGAAAATGCTCGTGACGGAATCCGATAGCCAACGGCATCCAAATTCAGGCCATAAAGGGTGAAATCGCTCGTTAGCCCTCCACAAGACCGTTAAGTGTCTGGGCACAACCTGATTCCCGGGAACAACATATGCTTATATGGCCTGGCTGTGGGCTCCAGTGTCATCATTACCATGACTAGGATTACGATTACTGTCATCGTCATGTCATCACAAACACACGCAGACTTAGCGAGCGTCTTTATGGCTTTTGGCGCTGAAATGATAAGGAAAGTTTTTGCAGAACATTTCCCGGACGGGGCTTATGTCCATGCTGGAAACATATGGCATATTGCCAGGCGAAACATTTAATGGTCTGCAAAATGGCCGGGGCCGGGACATTAAAAGTTGCTTAACCTTCATTAGGCGCCCGATTCGCAGTCCGACTGACAGCGAGATGAAATTTAATATGTGTCAGGTCCTGTCGGGGGGCTTAATGCCCCATTTGTGCAGGGGCGCAGTGCATCCAAATGATATGCCTGGAAAAAATAAAACAAATCTCCGCCAGTTGGCGTGGGGCTTTAATCAGGAAAAGGGCCGAAAGGGGTTCGGCTTTAAGGGGGGCGCAAGGACACTAGGCAGTCAAACTCAATTTTGCAGCTTGTTTCACGGTACAACGACCACGCCCTCCGCCCCCAGCCCATCAGAGGCGCTAATGCGGCGACATGGCATTATCCTTTTTCCTTTCGCGACTTCTTTCCCGACTTTTCCGACCGCGGCTGCACTCTCCTTGGGTATTTTGATAATCAAATTTGCGCAAACAAGCGAGTGGCGTGAATTTGCCAACGCCACCGGAACAAGGACGAAACAAGGAACAGGGATAATAACGGTTGCGCTTCGTGCACTCTTGCAATTAGATTGGCAAAACTTCAGGAACTCTTCCTTGCCCAAAATGCTTTAAGTTCCTTAAGGTACTTTCAATATTTGTATAGGTATTTATGGATTAAAGCCTTTACAAGCTATTATAATTAAAATAGATTACTAACTAACTAAACTTACTAAACTTTAGAAGCAGAGGTCTCATACAATTTTGTTTTCCAAGTTAAAAAAATGAACTGATGTATAAAAAAAAGGGTTTTCTTAAAAACTGACTTGATGAAACCTTATAGTTTTGGGTTGTTAGTCTCCTAACAAAATACTTTCTGATTCTGTATCATTTAGTGTCTTTGGGTGTTAGGATCAGGATAAGTCCTATATACAACATTTTGGTTGAAAAGTATGCCCCACAAAGTTTGTATTTAGAAGCTACACCACTGGTTCAGGAATTTAACCCCCAAAACACAATCAAGGATCAGCCACTGTACATGAGGTATGAAAAAAGTGCATCATCAAACTTGTATTTCTTAATACACTTTGTTTCTGCTCGTTATGAAAGAACCAAATATAATAGACTTCGTTTTGGTAAAAATATCCATAACCTTTTAATTTCATGGTGTTTTATCTGTAAACCTATAAAATGGTGTGGTTCGCTCTTTTATTTAAAGTCGGTTTATCACCAAAATGCGGATTGGTTTCTATTACGTGTTTTTTGTGCTATTGGTGATTGGTAGAGTGGTGCAATCCCTCGTCCACCATCCGGTTCAAAGTTTATTGGAAATTCAGAGCGCCGTCAAAAATTCAAAAAATATGTCTTTAAAAGATTCTATAACGGAGGCGGTTAAGAAAATGTCCCCAGAGGAAATACGTCAAATTATAGAAGATGAAGCCTTAGGGGCCCCAGGAGGAAAAACGCAGGCTCAATTATTAGAAGAAGCTTACACACAGATTGCATCGCAAGCAAATGAGGTGGCAAATCTCCAAGCGCGTTTGCAAGCGATACTTAAATCACACACTCAAGCAGAGGCTCAGGAACAGTCTCAATCACAGACTGAATCCGAAGCTCAATCACAAACCCAATCACAAACTCAAACGCAAACTCAAGCAGAAACTCAATCACAATCTCAATTACAAAGGCAAGCTCGAACGCAACATGAAGCGCTAGCACAACTAGAGCTAGCTAAAGCACAAGCTCTATCGCAAGAGATAGCGCTAACTAAGCTTGAATCACAATTACTGGCTCAAGCTTTATCACTGACTAATTCAGGAGCAAGGTCACAGGTTCAGTCACAAGCTCAATCACAATCAGAAACTCAATCACAGGCCCAGTCACAGACTCAGTCACAAGCTCAATCACAGGCCGAGTTACAGGCTCAAACACAAGAACAGGCTCAATCAAGCGAACAATTCCAACAAATAGAGGAAGCTCGAGTCCAGATTGAAAATGAACTGACAGAGCTGGGTGAGGCACAAAATCTAATTATGGAACAACTTAAATACCAAACAGAGGGAGAAGAGCAATTACCGGATCAATCAGCACTACCACAAGCGATTGCTATTGGGCCTCGAACATGTAATCGATGCCAGGAAACGCATAGCTTTTCACAAAAGGACATCCAAGTTGACTCCAAGCTGCAGACAGTAAGTAATCCCATGGACAGACTGCAGTAGCTATAACCAAAGTTTCCATTGTTCGATAGGATGCCTTGATCCAGAAGTATGGCTACCCATCAGAAACCCACTACGCGAACACAGAGGACAGATACAAAGTCTGTTTGCATCGAATTCCCCGGCCCGGAGCCACGCCCATCATGTTGGTCCACGGCCTGATGGCCAGCTCAGCCTCTTGGGTGCAATTCGGTCCATCTTCTGGCCTGGCCTACATTCTCTACCGGAAGGGCTTCGACGTCTGGATGCTCAATACCAGGGGCAACGTATACTCGCAGGAGCGTGGGTGGGGTCGCGAGAGCGATCAGGTTTACTGGGACTTTTCCTTTCACCAGATCGGCCTCTACGATATACCGGCTGCCATCGATCTCATTCTCGGGCAGACCAACCAGCCTAACATTCAGTACATTGGTCACTCGCAGGGCTCCACTGTTTTCTTTGCGATGTGCAGCTTAAGACCCGAATACGCCGCCAAGGTGAAGCTCATGCAGTCCCTGTCCCCAACAGTCTTCTTGAAAGGACTCCGCAGCCCAGTACTTAAGTTTATGGGCATTTTTAAGGGTGGCTTTACGGTGAGTACACACAATATTATAACATAATGATCAATTTGATATTCCGAAATTATAAAGTATCATGGTTCTCTCCTTGCAAATTTGAATATGAGTAAGTACAAGACAGCAATATTCAATGCTCTCGGAAATAGAAAAAGGGAGAAGAAAGCTCGATGGCGGTCATGTCAAAGTTATATGCCGGTATCTAGATAGAATATTTATTTAATTTAATTGAAATTAATTTGCATGTGATTTTAATAACAATAATACAAGTAATAATAATAGATATATTCCTTTCGTTTCATAACAGATGCTGTTGAATCTTATCGGCGGCTACAAGATCTCTCTGAAGAACAAGCTCATCGATCGGTTCCGTCAGCACATCTGTCCAGCCTCCGTACTCACCAGTCGCATCTGCGCCATCTTTGATTTCGTGGTCTGCGGCTTCAACTGGCAGAGTTTCAATCGGGTGGGGAATTGAAATATGTTTATTATAGATTCATTGAGGTAATAGAATTAATCTTTTTCTAGACTCTCAGCCCCATTGTGGAAGGCCACGCCTCGCAAGGTAGCTCCGCCAAGCAGCTCTATCACTTGGCCCAGATGCAGGGCAAAAATGTTTTCCAATATTATGACTATGGGCTTCTCCGGAATCGGGTGCACTATCAATCCTTTCGACCGCCCAGCTACAACCTTTCGCTTGTGACCAGCAAGGTGGCACTCCACCACGGCGGAGGCGACTGGTTGGGATCCGAATCCGATGTGACCATGCTCCAGCAGAGTTTGCCCAACTGCATCGAAAAGAGGAAGGTGGGAGTCGAGGGCTTTTCACACTTCGACTTTACCATCTCTCAGGACGTTCGACCTCTGGTCTATGATCGCGTCATTGATCTTTGTGGTACATACCGATAGACGTTGTTGGCAGTTTGGCCTTGTCACATCAAAAAACGATAACAGTTTCATTTTTGTATGGCTATGAATAGATTACAAAATATTTTACAATAATAAATTTACATTATCATTATATTGATGTAAGTGAACCAGTTTTTTTCGTTTCCTATTAAGAACGGTTTTTGGTAAAATAAACCTTTCATTTATAATATCTTTATAATATCTTTTGAGTATTATATAATATGTGACAGGTATTGCCAGTAAATGGCCTGCATAAGTGCCCCGACTATTAAATACTCCTTACTTAGCTAAAGGGTGTGTGAGGGAGATGGAGAAATGCAAGCAGCAAAGCGGCTGTATCCGAGATTGCACCCGAGCATCATCTAGCGGTGGTTACAATAATTGCTCATCAATTCTTAAATTTGAAAGTTTTTTGGCATCTTGGTATTAACAAAACACGACTTAAAATTTAAAAAAATCTTAAGGAATGTGGGCGCCAGTCAGATTTGAGCATGATAGGCGCTAAAGTGGCGTTCCACCTTGGGATATAAACATGCGTTGAATCTGGAGATCCCAAGATCACTTCGTTAGCACGGACATGGCTAAATTAGTGTTACCATTAAAAGGGAAAATGTATATAACGGAATGAATAAAACGGAAAAGATGAACACTTTTTTTAAGTGGACACAAAGCAGGACAAAAGGAGATATTTCTCAAAACTTTTATTTATGTTTATATTTGGATTATTTGTGTATAAATAAATAATATAAATAAACCAATATTTTCTGTTAAATAGTTGTCCGATACTTACACACTGGACTACATAGAAAATAATGAAGACTTTGAGGAAAGTTGCATCCCTATAGCTAAAACAGAGAGACCATGGCTAGATGGACTCGTCTAGTGATGCTGATCAAGAATATGACTGAAATTTAATACCCTCTACAAGCGTATCCAAATAATAGACGTGTCCTGAAAAAGCTAGTTGTGGCAGTCATGCGATAGATCGTCTCGGCTAGTGATCCCGATCAAAAATAGGGACGGAAATGCTTTCATTTACCTGTTACATACTTTTCGACGAATTCAATATAAATTTTATAGTTTTAGTATAAGTAATAAACTTTCCGATCGGTCTGTGTAAAAAAGTATTTCAAATACTAACCCAGCTCTATGTCCCGAATAAATCCAACGCAAGCTATGTATTCTGCCGTCCCGACCCTTTCAGAGGGTATAATGATTTTAGTCAGAGGCTTGCAGTGCACTAAAGGAGACGTCTCCGATCCCATAAAGTATATATATTCTTAATCAACATTACTTTACGAGTCGATCTAGCCATGTCCAGTCTCTCAGCTTTAAAGCTATCGGGATGAAACCTTTCCAAAAGTCTTGTTTTTTTGCAGGTAGTATATATAATTAGGATCGAGCCGGATTGGACAACTATATCCTATAGCTCCAATAGGAATTATCAAAAATATATATTAACAAAAATGTAAAAAAGTTTTAACTTCGGTGTCTTCTGACATATTAACTTGTGCTCTTGGGAATTTTATTCTTTTAATATTACATAATTTCCAATAAAATTTAAAACAAATAAAATAAAAAATAATAATAAAATAAAAAAAATAAATAAATAACAAAAATAAAACAAATAGTTTTAAGTTTTCTAAAAATCAGAAAGCTCTGTACATACAAAGCTCCCACGGGGCCTTTCCTTTCTTGTTAATGTTGTACTGCTTCTACTCGCCATCTTATCCGTAATACATAAACATACACTTTAAATACGATGAAAAATATACTTACAGTCAGTTTCCAAAAAATAACATCAGGATATCAGAGTTTTTTAAGAGTTATACAAGGCTGTTTAGTGTGGCTCTACCCTTTGTTGAATTCTTATTGAGTGATTCAACACCGGAATGTTAAGCAGTTTATCTGCGGATGGAAATTCTACTTCAAGCATGGTTATTTTAATTTCAAGGTTCTTTAACATCAAACCTATAAAAGGAGTCTGCTCGATTCGCCCTCTAAAGTGAGCTTAGCACCGGGATGACTATAGTTCTTAATCTCGCGATATGTGTCTTCCTTTTACTTGGTACTGTCGTACCCAGCAAAGGTGAGATGCAAGATCCAGATATAGACCTTCTGGTTCAACTGCATACTGGTACGGATGAACAGTCACAATCGCAATTGCAGGTAAAAACTATGATGCTAAAAGTTTTATTTAATCTGGAGGCTCAATATTATCTGATAATTTTATATTAGAATATTGGAACTGGCGGTCCACATATAGAAAGCTCTGCACAGTCGCAATCGCAGTTGCAGGTAAAAACTATAATGCAAAAAGTTATATTAAATCTGGAGGCTCAATATTATCTTATAATTTAATATTAGAACATTGAAACTGGCGGTCTACATCTGGAAAGCTCTGCACAGTCACAATTGCAATCGCAGGTAAAAACTATGATGCTACAAGTTTTTTTTAATCTGGAAGCTCAATATTATCTGATAATTTTATATTAGAATATTGGAACTGGCGGTCCACGTGTAGAAAGCTTTGCACAGTCGCAATCGCAGTTGCAGGTAAAAACTTTAATCAAAAAGATTAATTTTAACTAAAAACTTAATATTTTCTGATAATTTAATATTAGAACATTGAAACTGACGGTCCACATCTAGAAAGCTCTGCACAGTCGCAATCGCAGTTGCAGGTAAAAACTATAATGCAAAAAAGTATTATTTCAACTGAAGGCTCAATATTATCTGATAATTTAATATTAGAACATTGGAACTGGCGGTCCACATATAGAAAGCGCTGCACAGTCGCAATCGAAATTTCAGGTAAAAACTATAAAGCAAAAAAGTACTATTTTAACTAGAGGCTCAATGTTGTCTGATAATTTAATATTAGAATATTGGAAATGGCAGTCCACTTCCAGAAAGCTCTGCACAGTCACAGTCCCAGTTGCAGGTAAAAACTATAATTCAAAAATGTCTTACTTAATCTGGAGGCTCAATATTATTTGATAATTTAATATCAGAACATTGGAACTGACGGTCCACATCTAGAAAGCTCTGCACAGTCGCAATCACAGTTGCAGGTAAAAACTATAATGCAAATGGGCTCAATATTATCTGAACAATATATATTTCATATTAGGACATTGAAAGTGGCGGTGCCAATCTGGAAAGCTCTGCAAGGAAGATGCAATCGCAGTCGCAATCTCAGTTACAATCGCAGTCACATATTGGGGCTCTAACTAATCTCCAAGAGCCAAATATTCGACCTCTGGTCCTGCAACCAAAGTTTCAACAGGACATAACACAAGAGATAGTACATGCAATTCCACAGGAGTCAAATCCTCAATTCAACATCATTGATTCTAAGCCAAACAAAAATCCTTCCATCGACATAACCAACCAATTAATTAATTCGATTCAGTCGCAGTTACAGTCACAGATCAATTTACTAAAACAGTCCCTTCTACAGCAATCCGTTGTTGATCAAACTTCAAAGGACTTAAGCTCAACTAAGTATGTGATTGTTCCCTCCATGTACGAGATAAGAAGGCTGAATTCCGATCCCCAATATTTGATAATTCCTCGTTGGCTAAGAAGAAGACGCCGAAGAGCGTTAGTGATTTTTCCTAGAGCAGGCGGATTAGAGCAAACCAATGTAAAAACTTCACCTCAGTTAAATTTAAATCAATCAAATTCTGAACAGTTGCTTCTTGATGGTTCACTAATACCACAATCCAAGTATTATATTTTAACTCCTTTTGAACCGAAAAAATATAACTCTAGTGTTGATATAATTGATCGAAACGATTTAAAGTCTGCATACTTGACTTACTTTCAAAAACAGACGGCAAATAGAATTGCTGAGTTGGAAAGAAAGTTACAGGTACTAAAGACCAAAAACCTTTTAAGCCTTATACGTTCGGCGCCAGATACCCAGCCTCAGCCGACTAACCTAAATTCCCAGCTACAGTCCCCACTACAGTCTCTCTTACGGTCCCAGTTAAAGTCTATAAGATCTTTGCCCCAGAGACAGTCACAGTTACAGTACCAATCGCATTTATCAGGATCACTTTCCCAAACACAGTCCCAGTTAAATTCACTTTCCCAAATACAGTCACAGCTAGACTCACTTTCATTACGATCACTGCCCCAGAGACAGTCACAGTTACAGTCCCTATCGCTGTCACCAGGATCACTTTCCCAAGCACAGTCCCAGTTGAATTCACAGTCTTCTGGACTACTGTCCCAAATACAGTCACAGTTAAACTCACATCCATCAGGATCCCTGTCCCAGAGACAGTCACAGTTACAGTCCCTATCGCTGTCACCAGGATCACTTTCCCAAGCACAGTCCCAGTTGAATTCACATTCTTCTGGACTACTGTCCCAAATTCAGTCACAGTTACACTCACATTCATCAGGATCAGTGTCCCAAAGACTGTCGCAGAAACAGTCCCTATCGCTGTCACGAGGATCACTTTCCCAAAGACAGTCCCAAGTGAACTCACAGTCTTCTGGACCACTGTCCCAAGCACAGTCACAGTTAAACTCACATTCATCAGGATCACTGTCCCAGAGACAGTCCCAGTTGAATTCACATTCTTCTGGACTACTGTCCCAAATACAGTCACAGTTAAGCTCACATCTATCAGGATCCCTGTCCCAGAGACAGTCACAGTTACAGTCCCTATCGCTGTCACCAGGATCACTTTTCCAAGCACAGAGTCAGTTGAATTCACTTTCTTCTGGACTACTGTCCCAAATTCAGTCACAGTTAAACTCACATTCATCAGGATCAGTGTCCCAAAGACTGTCGCAGAAACAGTCCCTATCGCTGTCACGAGGATCACTTTCCCAAAGACAGTCCCAAGTGAACTCACAGTCTTCTGGACCACTGTCCCAAGAACAGTCACATTCATCAGAATCACTGTCTCAGACACAGTCGCAGAAACAGTCCCTATCGCTGTCACCAGGATCACTTTCCCAAACGCAGCCTCAGTTGAATTTACATTCTTCTGGACTACTGTCCAAAATGCAGTCACACTTAAACTCACAGTTATCAGACTCACTGTCCCAAATACAGTCACAGTTACAGACCCAATCGCAATCACATTTGAGAGCACAGAACCCTGCAGTTTCATTCATTCCATATGGCTCCCTGCTACCGCGACGTTCCCCTTTACCAGTCTCTCCGCCTGAACCAAAAGCAATTTTGCAAACAGATCTATTAAAAAATGCTAAAATCAGCGTGGGTACTTCTGAGTACAAAATCTACAGCCCACCGAAATACCACTCCCAGATGGACATCTTGGATGACTCCAAACTGACAACGGTCAGTAATTATTTTCCGTCTAATTCTTAGATGACTCATATACCCTTTAAAGCATAGGTGCACCTGATTGAAAAGTACGGCTATCCATCGGAGACCCACTTTGTGAACTCTGACGATGGCTACAAGCTCTGTGTGCATCGTATTCCCCGTCCTGGAGCTAAACCTGTCCTACTGGTTCACGGTCTGATGTCCAGTTCCGCCTCGTGGGTGGAATTGGGACCCAAGAACGGACTGGCGTACATCCTGTACCGAAAGGGTTACGACGTCTGGATGCTGAATACCAGAGGCAACAAATACTCTAGGGACCAAACTGGTTCCCGCAAGAAACCACGGAAGTACTGGAACTTCTCCTTCCATGAAATCGGCAAATATGATGTACCAGCTACAATTGATCTTATACTCAAGCGCACCAACGAGCCGAAGCTCCAATACATTGGGCACTCACAGGGCTCCACCGTATTCTTTGTGATGTGCAGTGAAAAGCCGAAGTATGCCAATAAGGTGCAGCTCATGCAGGCCCTTTCCCCAACGGTTTACCTGCAAGAGAACCGTAGTCCTGTGCTTAAGTTCATCAGCATGTTCAAAGGAAAGTATTCGGTAAGTAGAGTTTATCGCAACGTATTTTATAACAGGGGTTGCGCTTTGTCGAGCTTTGATAACCCCGTTCAAGCTGCCGGAAAGTATGCTTTGAAAAATATAAATGGCATTGCATACTTTTAAGCAGTGTTTGTAGAGATTTCAGTGTGACCTCTGTAATTCTGTATAAAATATTTATTTATCCTATCTTCTGATTGTCTTTGTAGATGCTGTTGAACCTTTTAGGGGGCTATGAGATCTCGGCGAAAACGAAGCTCATAGAGCAGTTCCGCCAGCACATTTGCTCCACCTCGGAACTGGCCAGTCAAATCTGCGCCATCTTCGACTTTGTGCTCTGCGGATTCGACTGGAAGAGCTTTAATAAGGTGGGACTAGAGGTTCTTTACTGCGAGGTCTACAGAACGGCGTTATCTTTCAGACGCTAACCCCCATTGTGGCCGCCCACGCCTCCCAAGGAGCCTCTGCCAAGCAGATCTACCACTACGCACAGCTGCAGGGTGACCAGAACTTCCAGCATTTCGATCACGGACCGGTCCTGAATCGGGTTCGTTACGAGTCCAGCGCTCCACCAGCCTACAATCTCTCGCAGACGACCACCAAGGTGGTAATCCACCATGGTGGAGGAGACTGGCTGGGATCCGACTCGGATGTGAACCGGCTGCAGCAGAGCCTGCCCAATCTCGTCGAGAGCCGGAAGGTGAACTACGATGGCTTCTCCCACTATGACTTTACACTCTCGAAGGATGTCCGTCCGCTGGTCTACAGCCACGTTCTTCGCCACTTGTCAGTTCAGCTGCCAGGATAGGCAAGTTGCGGGAATTACTCTTCTAAAGAGGGACTAAAATCAGGAAACGGTTAAAAAATTTAGAGTATAGCGAAATTGTTAAAGTTTTCAGGGACCTTTCATAAATGTAATTAAATTATCACATCACTGTATTTAAGCATTGTTCAAGAAGTCTAGATGATTATGAAATGGCTGAAATAAGTAGGGAGATACATTTTTGCAACCATAACTGAATCCAAAAAAGTAAAAAAAAATCTTCCACATTTTTCCCACTGCTAATGAAGGTTTCTCTGGGGATATCGCCATCAATTTACTTGCTCTGAGCCCTTTCCATTGGCATCACTCACCGTAGGAAAAGAAATCAATGCTTACGAGCAGCGACGGAAATTTGCATATTCCTGGCCCCAAGCGCTTCCATAAATATCACATCCTGAACGCATATTTACACGCCGCGAGGCCAAGTTTTCAAATTAAGTTTGCAATCGAAATGAGGCGAAAGAAAGTCAGGACCAAGCTTTAAATTGCTCACGTGTGTGACACATTTCTTTTGGCAGAGTCACGACAATGGCGAAAAGCGGAAGTGGAAACGCGAAATGTGAAAAATACGCAGAGCAAACAAAAGAGGGCTGAGGGGGTGCGACATCGGGGGTGCTGGAACGTGTCGCTTAACAGCCCCACGTACGCAGCCCTGAAGGCACAATCCGCCCCGAATTCTCCACCACAACTGCCAGACTAGCTATTTTGTATGTGCCTGGTTTTGTCTAGTTTCTATTTACATTTAGGTTGATCATATTTGGTTGTCTTTTAGTATATACTAATACTAATACTAAAAAATATGCATACCGATTGGACCATTAAAACCAAAGATACTACATCTACTTTTAAGGCTAAATATCTTTGGCTACCCAATTAGCCAACTTGAAACTTAAACGCTATTATCTGGGAATGCTGTTTTCCCGAAAATGGTTTTTGGGTGGTAACGATTCATGGATATCTGTAGGACCGAATAGATTAGGTGGCCCAAATTTTTTTTAGTTAAGTGATTGTCGTGCTCGACAAAAAAGTGTTGGATAATTTTGATAACCAAAAGCGGTGGCACCTCAGAAACAATTACAGAGCTTACTTATTTTTAATAGGATTATAAAATTTTCCCTTAAAACCCTCTTATAAACAGCAGTAGGATTCTTTTAAATTTTAAACATATCAATGTTAAAACTATTTACTTTTAACAACATTAATGTGCGGGTAAATAGTACAGGTTAACTATTATAACAGTTTTAAGTTGACCATCAGTTCTAGTTCCAGTTTTTTATCTATTTATTCACCGTATGTCTACGATTCTAGCTATTCTTAGTAATTTTTAGTTGGCAGCACTACTCCTCATGTGGTAGGCCCTACTGGGTGGGGTACATCCCACCGTAAGCCCAAAAGACCCGGCGTACGTGTGTTATTTAATGCTTATCTTTATCCTTTTCCCATTAGTGTTATTGATGTTGGCAGCGGGCGCTCGTTGTCAACCTGCTCCCGAATCTCCCCACAGGTGCCCCTCCCGATAAACTTGCCCTCCGGTTAAGCGCTGACAATTGATGCCAAGGATACTCCAACCAAATCACGCGCTAAACATTATTTTAATGTCCCCAGGCAGTCACATATGTATATTCGAGTCGGCAGCTTTTCCCTCTATGTTTCACATGCTGCGAGTTTGCGGGAATATTTAAAGTCCTGCCAACTCAATTCCAGGAATTTGCGTGTGCGTGAAGAGGACCCTTGGGGGCAACCATTCTCACCGGGTCGAACAGGGTCGCGTCCTTGAAGGACTTAAGCTTCAAATATAAATGATTCTTAAATTTCCGCGTAAAGCTGAAGAAAATATGTAAATGCACAAATAGGATATGCATTGGTAAACAGTGGATACATTTAATGTTGAGTAATAAGAGTTCTTCAAAAGCTTCCAACACTTTTTTTTAGTTTTGGGAAAAATCCCACCAAAAGGTATCTAAAATGCACCTCTGGGAACCTCCGCCTAGCAATCTCGGCTGGCCCTGACAAATTAATCTCTTTCATAGACAAGACCGGAAAGTAATTGTGTTTTGTTATGTAGCTTTCGACTGGTGGAGAAACCGTTCACACATTTTAAACACCGATTCCCAACAAATTCAAATGTTTTGCCAACATTTCGTATTAGAATAGTAGCACAAAACCTAAGAAGCGGTCGAGGAATTTTGCGCGACCCCAAGTGTACTAAAACCCTTCTGATTTCAACGACCACCGAGTTCTCTATTTTCTATGTAAAGTGACGAGCCAAATAAGTGAAAAAGCAGAGCAAATCCCACAATCGAACGAGGACCAGATGTGCTAGCCAAGAAACCAGGTCCGCAGCCAGCCCCAGACGAGTCCGAAAAAAAAGAAGAGAAGAAGCCATCAGCCAGTCAGTGAGTAATAGAGCCCGGAAAGGAGTTTCCAGATTGAAGGACATGTGGTCCCACCAGTACAAGATGCGTCCGCAGATGCACTTGCCCGTCATCCACGAGCAGATCGCGATGCAGTGCGCCCGGAACATAGTGCGTGTGGCCTCCGCCTTGCCGCAACCGCAGCCCCGCTGTCCATCCGGCCATGTGGCAGTGCTCGTGGAGCTGCGCCGCGTGGACGAGTCTACCGTGCACCGCTACCAGGTGAACGTGCCGCCCACGGGCTGGCCGTCTGGTGATTCCCAGGGGTCGGAGGCACAGGAACAGGAGGGCTTTCAGCAGCTGGTGCTCCCCGGAACCCTGGAAACGATGGGCCACAAGATTCCTCAGCCGGAGAGACCTCCATGTCCCATGCACGGCCATGCTATTGTGGACGCTGGGAACGCCCCCAAAATCTGGTCGCCGGACTCCCACTCTGGGCCACCTCCTCTGGTGATGACCCAGTGCTCCATGCACATGGTGAATGGCCAGAACCCTAAGGAATTTGCCACCTTCAGTGAGCCCGTCGTGGCTGGCGATTCACCGGACGTCCTGAGGGCGCACTTTACGGCCAGTCTCTACCAGCAGCATGCCAGTCCCCTCACCTACTCGGACATCTGGGTGCAGGGAGAAGCTCCGGGGCATCTGCCCCAAGGGGAGTCCGCCCCCCAACCTCCCATCCCGCAGCTCTGTTTGGGGGAGAGCAACGAGTATGTGGCCACCTCGAAGGCACGACGCATCAATGGGCTCAAGGCGTCTCCCAAAAGAACTCCTCGAAACGGAAATGGAAATGGAAACGGAAACGGGAAGGGAATAGAGCCACGCAGGATGGCCGAGCTGTGCCTGGACAGCAACGGGAACTACGTGCCCAATGAGCAGCTGCAGCGTCCTTTCAACAGCCTCCGTTCGCAGGCGATCCCCAACGAAATGAGAATGGAACAGTCCTACAATGGGCAACTTCAGAGCCACCAGGCGGAGTCGCCACCCAAGGGACTCAACGGCTACAAGGGCGAGCTCTGCGGCTATGGTTACATCGGCAAGGATCCCGGCAAGCCCAAGAACGGCTACAAGGATCAGCCGATGGCGTTTTCGGAGCGAGGAAATGTCCTGGGGCAGATGCATGCACAGTACCCGAGTCAAATGATGGGTCGTGTGGCAATGATAGAACCGCGCATTCGCCAGGTGGCACCCATTGTCCCGCAAAACAACCCGTCCTTGCGCAGTCTACCAGGTAAGATGAAGAAACCAGCTATTTCATTGCACTGACTTCAGGATTGAATGCAAAATAGTCCTATATAGTCTATAATATTAATGAAAAGACCTAAAAATCACAACAACATTCTTGATCTGAAAAAATATTTAATTGCTAGTACCTGGAGCTTCTTATTATTTTCACATTTTTTTTATTTTTAGGAATCAAAAAATGTTTAGCACATATATTTCTTTGAGAATTATATTTTAAGAGAAAAAAGATTGTAGACCTATTAGACGTTGAATCAGATTTGTAATCAGATTTTCTGCAATTTCTGATAGGTTACCTTTTTTATAATACCAAATTTAGATTAGGCTTTGTTATGATTATGATATAGTAAAAACATTTTTAGCCAAGTCAATTCTGGTTAAACATCGTGTATTATTATTAAAAAACGTGAACGTGTTTAAGTCAAATTTTTTTTTTTAACGAAACTGACTTGTTCCTTCTTTTGATATTTGCTCCTTTTAATTGTTAAACAAGTGTGTTTAATTTTAGATATATTTTATATTGATACCACATAAAGAAGTGGGGCGTACCCATTTCCTTTCACCTCATATAATATTATTAATAATATTGTATTATCATTCCAATAATGATTACCTCCTCCCGCAGCAGTGACGGTGCCCCCGGCGCCACCTCAGGCCTATCCTCGGGAGCTGCAGGAGCTCTTCCGCTGGAATTATTGTGCCCTGTGCCACACGGTCATGCGGTCGCAGCGTAATGCGCTGGACCACTACGCGTCGCGGGCGCACGACCGCCGGCTGAGCTCCTGGCTGGTGCGCCAGAGCCCCACTGGCCATGCTGGTCAGGCGGGACAGGCTGTGGGCGCCGTGGGCGTGTCGGAGGAGACGCTGCAGTACTTGCGCTCCGCCCGCCCGGCGGACTTCTACTGCGAACTGTGCGACCTCAAGCTGACCTCGGTGATGCATGCCGAGCAGCACTTCTGTGGGCGCCGCCACCGCCTGGTGGCCCGCCAGATGATCAAACCGAACGGAGAGGGCTTCTACGATCCGGAGGGCAAGTGGGTGCGCACGGACGCCAAGTTCCTGATGTGCGAGCTGTGCGACGTGAGCATCACCTCGGAGTCCCAGATGGCCATGCACATGGCGGGCACCCGTCACCGGAGGCGGGTGCACTCCGTCTATGCGGCTGGATGCGCCGAGGCCATGGCCTTGGGTGTGGGTATGAACGTGGGCATGAATGTGGGCGTGGGCGTGGGCGTGGGTGTGGGTCTGGCCCCCTTCAATGGCGGGCAGGTGTACGGGCTGAACGCCAATGGATCCCTGGCCCCCCTGAGGCCCATAGGCCTGCAGATCCTCCCAGCCCCGCAGCCACGTCCCCTTGCCGATCCCTCCTACTACTGCGAGGCATGCAACATCACGCTGAACCATTTGAAGTCGGTGCGGCAGCACGAGCAGGGACGCATGCATCGCCGCAATCTGCACAGGCTTCCGGGACAACCGGTATTCTACGAGTGAGCTGGCGGATTGGGAGGCTGGGAGATATACTGGATGCAGCCACAAATAATATCAGCAGCCCGGAGTCCTGGAGTTACCGCACCCACTCCCACCCACCGGCGGATATTCATGCTGAGCTGTGTGTTATTTGCAATTTATTTTTGATCATCTACCTTTTTTTTATGTTTTCTAGTAGTATAATAAATATCTCCGAAACCCCAAAGCCCTTGGCAAATATCAAGGACACTTATATTGTTTTTATTCTAATATGGGAAATCTATAAAAAATGATTATCAATAGTTGGAAAATCTGATATACACACAAAAAACACGATTATAAATGAGTTTAAAAATGTAACAAATTTATTTACATGTTGAGAAAATTTATTTAATTAATTAGATGTCCACAAAAGTTTAATGGATCACCATAATTCATTGCATACTTGTGGGCTTCTGTTGAAACCTTAGCAACATGTTGCTGCAACTTGCATGTTGCTAAAAATAGTGACAAAAAATGGGAAACATTGAAAATTTATAGCCCCATTATTTTTATAGAATTATTTAGCGACGAAAATACTACATTTATCTATTCATTTAATAAATGATTTATACATTTATAAAAATTTCTCCGAAATTAAAAGAATCAAGCGTCGCCACTGGCAAATTAAAAGAATCAAGCCTTGCCAGACCGAAAATTTGCAGTCTCATCTTAAGGGGAAAGAATAGTGCAGAGATAGGTGAAAGGGATGGTAGAGGTTGTGAAGAAAGTGGTGAGGGGCTTTTGCTATGCAGAATGGGGGGTCAAAGAGAAAGCCAATGTTGGTGTTACCAGGTTAGGAAAAATATGACTCATCTTCATGAAGAGAAAGAACACAAGGCGACTTGATTCAAAAATATTGAATTTTTGAGCTTGATAAAAGTGTAGGAACAGACAACAACGACAATGGATAACATAAAAATAGCTGCTACAGAAACTAACGTTTCTTGAACATATATATGATTTTATTGTATGATATGGTTTTATCTGCAAGCTTTCTTTCTTCTTTGGTAATAATCCGCATAATTTTGCTACTTTTATGATAAATGTGACGAAGTTTTAAAAACCATCCGCATTGTGGGCGTAACCACTTTTATTTTAGTTTAAAGATATGTGACCCTACTTACCCTTACGAACAGAATAAAAATATTGCAAAAAATTACCATTTTGTAGCACAAAGAAGAATTGCCTACACATTGGTGCTATGTTTGTTGCCGCAACTGTACTTTCTTAATCCCAACAAGGAAGAACGCTATAGTCGGATACCTCGACTATCAGATACCCGTTACTCGGCTATATGGAGATATGCAAGCAGCAAAGCGAGATTAAAATGCGCCACCTACCGGCGGTATACAGATTTAAGCGTTATGGGCGTTAGAGTGGGCGTGGCAAATTTTTTGGATCAATCGATAGGTATCGACGAGACCAATACATTTCAGTTAAAATTTTTATTCTAGCATCAAAACTGTAGGAGCCACAGTTTTGGGCGGTTTGTGGGCGTTAGAGTGGGCGTGGCACTGTGCCGAAACAAACTTGCGCTGCGTAAGAAGCTCAGGAATCTGCACGCCAAATCTCAATAGCCTAGCTCCCATAGTTTCCGAGATCTCAGCGTTCATCCGGACGGACAGACAGACGGACAGACGGACAGACGGACATGGCTAGATCGACTCGGCTAGTGATCCTGATCAAGAATATATATACTTTGTGGGGTCGGAAACGCTTCCTTCTGCCTGTTACATACTTTCCGACGAATCTAGTATACCCTTTTACTCTACGAGTAACGGGTATAAAAATGTCATTATACCCGTTACTCGTAGAGTAAAAGGTATAATGACATAAACCGCCCAAAACTGTGGCTCCTACAGTTTTGATGCTAGAATAAAAATTTTAACTGAAATGTATTGTTCTCACCAATACCTATCGATTGACCTAAAAAAAAGTTTGCCACGCCCACTTTAACGCCCACAAACCGCGAAAACCTGTGACGCCCACAATTTTCATGTATTGTTACTCGTAGAGTAAAAGGGTATACTAGATTCGTCGGAAAGTATGTAACAGGCAGAAGGAAGCGTTTCCGACCCCACAAAGTATATATATTCTTGATCAGGATCACTAGCCGAGTCGATCTAGCCATGTCCGTCTGTCCGTCTGTCCGTCTGTCTGTCCGTCCGGATGAACGCTGAGATCTCGGAAACTATGGGAGCTGGCTATTGAGATTTGGTGTGCAGATTCCTGAGCTTCTTACGCAGCGCAAGTTTGTTTCAGCACAGTGCCACGCCCACTCTAACGCCCACAAACCGCCCAAAACTGTGGCTCCTACAGTTTTGATGCTAGAATAAAAATTTTAACTGAAATGTATTGTTCTCACCAATACCTATCGATTGACCTAAAAAAAAGTTTGCCACGCCCACTTTAACGCCCACAAACCGCGAAAACCTGTGACGCCCACAATTTTCATGCTAGATAAAAAATTTTAACTGAAATGTATTGGTGTCGTCAATACCTATCGATTGATCCAGAAATAAATTTGCCACGCCCACTCTAACGCCCATAACGCTTAAATCTGTATACCTCCGGTAGGTGGCGCATTTTAATCTCGCTTTGCTGCTTGCATATCTCCATATAGCTGAGTAACGGGTATCTGATAGTCGAGGTACTCGACTATAGCGTTCTTCCTTGTTTAATTTGTCTATCTCATCATCTGTTTTTCCTACTATCTGGAAAGATTCTTTCATTATTCCACTCCACAAAAAGAGTGCGAAGGTTAATGTTCAGACCTATAGAGGAATCTCCGAATTGCCTGCAAATTGGCATCGACGGTGGAAAGTGAAAGGAAATGTAGTATTCAGGAAATAAAAATCTTTTCTTAGACCCTCCACTGTATAGTGTCCTTTCTAAAAAAGTAATTAATTTAATAAATCTGACTTATGATTTATACTCAATAAATTTTTTTGACTGACTAAAACAATTAATACTTCTATAGGCACTTTAAAAATAGTTCAATATAGACAGCGGCCAATCCTGGTGACATCTGAAAGCACTAAAAATGTATGCTTCACAAGAATGAAGGCCCCCAGAACCCGATTCCAGATCCGCCACTGGGCGGGTGGAACTATCAACACTTCCGGGCTAATTAATGATGCGATCCACTCACTCCCGCCGCACGGCAGAAATGTCTGGAATCTTTGCTTTTAATTGCCAGCCTGCTTATGCAGAGGCACGCTCCTCCGGCCACTGGGCTTTGGTTTTGGTTTCCGCCAGACGGAAATGGCATAAAATCCGATGGGGCTTCCACTGGAGCAGTCTGCAGACGGCAGACAATGGTGGCCATAAAAAGGAGTTATCGCTTGACAAATATCGGAGAGAGTGTTGCCCGACCACAGTGTCAGTCAGCGAGGGTCTAGACAAAACATGGCGCTAAATAAATAAATAGTAGCGCCAGCGGCAAAAAAAATCCCACTCATTGACAACCACAAAAACGGAAAAGAGACTTCGGCCGAAATTTATGGCCAATTTTTGCTGGGCCGTAACTTTGTTCGGGTTTGAAGTTCGCCGCCGTGCAAGGTCAATAGCAGTTGGGGGCGGCGTGTGAACTGGGGGCGTGGTCGAAGCCCCGCCACATCCTGAAACCAGTGTAGTCTGGTTATCTACTGTATTTATACCATTTGGCGTCTGGTCGCCCCGGCAGACGGCAGAAGCTTCAAACATGTTTTCGCATAAATTAAACTTCTTATCTGGCTGTAAAACATTTGACGCCATTCCTGGTGCTGTTGCATTTCAACCGATTGCAGCCCGGAAATGTGCATATAAGCAGCCACAATAAACACTGAATTAAAAAACAAAAAAGCAGCAACAATAGACCCAGAAGAGGAGCAAAATATAAATAAATATTGCCGGGAAATGGACAGTTTTATCGATGATACAGTTAATGATATAACCCTTGTCCGAATGCACATCGCACAATCCATATGTGGCTCGATGACAGTCTGACTTAAATTCGTGGGGAAATTGATGGCAGATGAGCTGGAGCTGAATAATAATTCATTTTTAAGTGTTTCCATTAAAATAAAATCGCAATTCAATGAAGGAATGAAAAACAATTACGGAAACCGTTTGCTTATGTTAAATATCAGAACTATGAAAATAAACATGAAGCTATCAGTAAAATATTTTTAGGCAACAACAAATATTTAAAAATATTAATCTCTTGCTTGTGTCTTCTTATTTAGTTTAATGTATTTCCTTTTTCTCTTGATAAAGAGTACTTACAGAATTCGATTTTATATATATTAATAATTGTGTGATTAACAAAAAATGAGAAATACACATGCTTTGTTAGCAGACATGTTTTTGGGCAGCTTTATTAGCTGCAGTCCAGCCCCCTTAAAATTTCGCTGGGCTTGTGTACAACTGTGTAAACAAATTAATTATGCAACTTTGTGGCTGAACAAACCGAGCCCCTTCACTCATTTACCCCTGCCCACTTGCTCTCGCTCAATAAAATATCCTTTCAACATATTTCAGCATAAACATTCGCATTTCCACGTTTCCCTGCCCCTCGGGCCTGCTGGAAAATGGTCGCTGGAATCGCTCAGGCATAAGGAAATTTATGCGTGGCAAAACCAAGCCCCAACCGAAACCAAAACACATTCTCCAGGGCAAACTCTCGACTCTGGCGACTAATTTGCATTCGCATAGCCCACAGATATAGCGACGGCTACGGCGCAAAGATACAGATACACGGGTCGGGTCCAGATACAAATGCAGCTTGCATCTGTGCAATTAACATAATTTCGGCAAAACGCTCACTTGGACAAAATGCTGAGGTAGTTGTAGCGATTTGCATTTCAAAAACACGAGAAACAATTTAAATACTGCAAGTGTTGTGTAATGCCCAATTTAGAATGTGTTGTGTTTTGTGTACTCGTGGTTAGCTCAAATGAGTTCTACATAAACTTATGAATATGTATAAGGTAAACCTGAAAGAAATTGTTAAAACTGGATAGCAACTCAATCCATTTTAAAAATATTTTAAAATTAGCCTGATGGAAACAAGTATATAACTTAATTTAATAATATTTACAATGCCTTTGTGCAATGTTTTAATAGATATGATTATTTTAAAGGTTATAAGTTCCATACTTATTCGTTTAAAACTTGAAAGAGGTAATGCAAGTACAAAAATGTGTAATTTATACATAAACTTTGTTTGGTTTATAGCTTGATTAAGACAACAACTATTTTTTTATCAATATCTTTATTAGCATTCAGCTAATTTAAAACTGATGTGAGCTACAAATGTCATATTATGATCTATCTGACAGATTCAAATATTTGGATATACGTTATGTGAACGGTTTGTTGTCAAAGTCTAATAAACATTTTTTATTTCTCAGTTTTTGCCGGCTGCCGCTTACCGTCTTTATGGCTCTTATTACGGGGTCTGTCGAAGTTGTGTCAAAACTAGACTCAGATTTCCCAAAGGGTGTGTTGGGGATCAGCCCAAAGGTTTAAAGCGTGTGAAGTGCTTATTGTCTTGCCGTCTCTGCGGAATTATATAAAATGCTTTTAATGTTTTTAATTGTTACGTGTTTTGCGCGCTTTGTGTGTCACAAAAAGTGAGTGTTTGAAGAAGGGGGCTATGGTTATGGCAGTTAATAAAACCAGAACCTGCTTGGCGGTAAGACTATTACATATGTGACTGGTTAATTAGCAGAGTTTGGGTTTGAGTTTGATAAAAATTGGACTACTTATCATTTAGCTGGCACATAAACGATGTGAATAAATACGTTTTTACAACTGCAATGCTATAGGCATTTTAGCTTGCTGAAACGAATTTTGTTTCTGGTTTTTTGGTTGAATTTCAAACCGGTTTTCGTCACAAAATATTATTGGCTTACATAGGATATTATTTATTTAAGATGCAAGTCTTTAAAACAGACAGCTTATCAAGGCTCATCCGGATAATATTATTTTAAGTTAAAAAAATCTATATATGTATATAATGAAAATAATGAAATCAGTCGAAACACTGATTGATTGCTGTCAAGAAATTATATTGTGTTATTTACCTTCTGTATACTTTATTGGTAGCCCTTACCTTGTCACACAATTTCGCTCATCACATCAACGCAATGCCTTTTTTCTACCTCGTCATTTGCAACAAGCGTTAGCAAATTGAACAAGACGTTGATTAGAATTTGAATTTCGCGATATTAACAAACAAATCCCCCGAGATGGAGCAGACATCCAGTTTAGAGCCTCAGCAATTTTTCGGGATGGGATATGTGTCAATCGAACGATCGGGGCAGCGACTGGCAAACAAAAACACTCGCAGCAGGGGCCGCCAAAACCGGCTGGCTGGGAAATTGTTTTTGTTTTGGCATTTTTGCTCACAAATATTGCAAGAAATGTAAACAGGAACAGAGCCTGTTGCCTGGTACCATGACACATTTACCAACATTTTCGTTGTTGTTACTGGCGGATGACAAATCTGGCAAGGCATTCGGGCCCACCTGTTGTTGTTATTGTTGTGCCACGGAAAAGCAAACAAACAACACCGCTGGGGCTCAGTCCCGTGTCTCGTGCCCCATGTCTCGTTGCTGCCTGCAGTTTTGCCATCAAAGCCAAAATAAGATAAAAGTTGGCTCAAAAACTGCAAAGCCATACATTTTAAAGCAAGAAGTGGCGATGCCCTAACTTATGTTTGTTAACTTCATTCACACCTTATTAAAAATGATTTTAAATTGTATGTCTTGTTTATCTTAAGATATAAAATTCTCTTAAGATTTTAGGAGTCAAAAAAGGTTCCAATCATTTTATCATAAAATTGTACCATATTTACAAGGGCTAATACCTTATAAAAGGGCTTATGCCTTATCATCGATTTTCTTTATAAATAAAATTATGTATTTCTTTTGAAAATGTTTTTTTTTATAAATTTAATTGGTTTTTTATTTGTTTTTAAAGTCATTCGACATATACTCTGCTTCATCCAAGCAAGCACGTCACATTCCTTTAAGTCTGAACTCATTTCAACACTTCTCAACAGCTTCCCTTTTCTTGCCAGCACCTACTTGAATTTTATTGTACATCGAGGAAAAAGTTCCCTTAAAATTTCCAAAACCATTATACAAAACATTAGAATGATACGAACCAGGAGGTCGAAGAAAACAAGGAGGGTTCCTATGGAAAAGATTGCTAGTTTCGACGAAGATCCCGAATTTCGAGCACTACTGTTGGATATAATGCGTGTTCTGGAAGCCATTCCCGAAGCAGCTTGATGCAAAATCCATCGGAAGAAAAAGTTCGTAGGGGGTTTGTTGTAGTGTTACATCAGAAACCAGACTTAAACACTATCTTAAATTAAAGTTTCAATGTCCAAAAACGTTGCGTATTTGTGCAGCTTTTTCGCTTTATAGAGTACACTTAAAACGACTTTCGATGTCGCCATTAGCAGAGTTTTCTCGGTTTGGAAAATTGTGTGCGAGAAGACGGAAAGAGACGGAGCAACTCTGCCGCCTGGCTGGAAGGTTATATAATAACAGGCCAGTCGGTCGATGGAGAGAAGCGACCCGAGTGGGCTGCCACTGCATCTGCGACTGCAAAATAGTTAGTGCAATCAACCTGAAATTGGAATGCCATGCAATTGGAATGCGTTACCAAATATTGATGACAGTAATAGCCGCCTCGGAGGGTTCCCAAGTTTCTGAGAGCAAGAAATCACTTTACATAATCGTCGGCAGTCAGTCAGCTGTTTATCGGCCCCGAGAGAAGAGACCAGACCAGACCGAACCGAACTGAACAGACCGCTAATAAAGTACCCCAAGCTACCATGTTACGCAGACCCCAAGTTGGGTGATAGAAAACGCCCCACCAAGTGGGACTTTTGGCCGCCGCCCCACTGATTGCAGTTATTTGGCTGGGATTTGCTGTCTTCAGTGGTTTTTGGCGTGGGTGTGCGGCTGGCGCCACAATTAAGTGGCGGTTTTGAATACCCACGAGGCGTGTCCTTTTGAGGAGTGGCTGTCTGGAAGATTTCCCACTCATGTGGGTCTGGAATCCTGCCTTGATTTTGGCGAAAAGAATGCAGCTAAGTGGGTCAATGCTCAATTGGATAATAGCAAATACAAAATATACAAAAATATGTTTTAATTTAAGTTTGCTAAGGTCTCCAAAAATGAGTAAAAATAAAGAAACCCCTCACTCAAAATATTCAAAAGTACATATAATGCCTTTAAATTGAATTCAGTGAATGAGCTTGTAAAAAACCAAATAGTACTATTTGAAACATGCTCTTTTTACGGATACTAAAGTTTCACATGTGTTGTCTTTATAGCCGAGATGAACTTTTCCGTTCTAGCATTAAGCTGTCTATTAAAATATAATTTCCTTTGCATATGACCATTAAGAGATTGACAGTTCAAGGCTTTAACACCCTAGAACAAAAGGTTCCTTAGCTCAGGGTCGGCACTAATCATTCGTTCGTTAACCCGGGATAGAAGTTCGGAATAATTGGGAGCGTATTAAGGGCCATTAAAGTGGAAGCACTATACTAACGACGCTCCCGAGCAATTAAACCCAACCCGAAGCGATGTCAAGTGCACTAATTAAGCTCTTCTGACACTATACATACATATATAGTAAGTGAGCGTAAGATGATATGGAAATGAGATAGTCGGCCGAAAAGTATGTCAACCATCAGGCAAACATCGAAAATCTCGCAAGTAAACTCCTGGCAAGGTCACAAGCAAGAAGCTGAGGACAACAGAGAAATTACCGACCGGCAAAAAAGCTTGGACCCCTTAACCCTTTTCCCTCTGGGCTCATTACAAAATTTCAGTGTCACGCTGCGGGATAAAAGCAAAACAAAAATCACAAAAAAATCGACTGCATCGGCCAAACAAATTACAAAAATAAAAAAAAAGTAAATCACGCCTCGCGACCTTGAGATTGCCGGCATTAACCCATTACGAAACAATGGGCTATTTTCCAAAGCACTGCAATTACTGCTAAGCTCTTTTTTAAAGTTTTATTACTTACCGGCTAAGAGATTCATTAAATAAATATTAAGTTGAAGCTAAGCTTGAAATATGAATTAGCTTTTAATATTGCTAGATTACAAAATTATTTTTATACTCATTTTTATTTGATTATATATAAAAAATAAATAAAAACATTTTAAAATTTGCAGAATTATGTCTTCAGTTTGGTTTGCTTCATTTAATCTAATTGAATTCATTACAAATCATTTAAATACATGTTTTATACTTTCCTTAAAGTTGATTATAATGGGTTAAGTTGCAACACTGCAATTTGGTTTTGCCTTACTGGCTGCAATAATTTCAGTTAATATCAACAATTTTCGCTGCCACCGAAAATCCGAAAATCCAACGCACAAAATGTTGTAAGAATCTCAGCGAAGCCAAAAAGCCCCAGATACTCGTAATTGTAGTCGTAACAATCCGAGCAAGATAATGACGGAAAGCACAGCAGCACAACCATAATCACGGCAGCCCAAAGAAGTTGATGGCCCTGCTCCTGCCCCACAATTGATTGCATGTGGCACGTGTTCACGGCATTCCTCCAAGTCCAAGTCCGATGGCCAAGCTATTCTGTTGCACACTTAATGGCATTGCAATGCAATTGCTCGCCTTGAAAATGGAGATCATATGTGGTTATTCGAAATTGTTGATCGATTTGTCTACCCTCTGGTCGTATTTATAACCTGTTGCTAAAGGGAAAATGGTAATTTTTTAAAAGTAAATTTAGAATAAGATAAAATAAATTAGTCCTCTTGTGTTAAGCAATTTTATATGAGTATCCATTTCCATAAATCAGTCAAAAAGTGGAGGGCATATTAAATAAACACTAAAAAAAAATCGTTAAATGATTCTTCGAGGGCATTTCGCACAGCGTTCGCGAAGCTTTCTTGCCTCTTTGGTTTTTTATTTTTGCCACTTTTGATTACTGCTGGGATGTGGTAAGAATGCATGTAAAAATGGTTATTGAATTTATGATTAATGCCCGAGCGCAGTTGTCATTGAGGGCCCGACAAATTGGCCGGCCAAGGCCAACCGGTGCGGCAAGAAACCCGAGATAAACGGGAAGAGATCGTTGCCAAAGTTGGTGGGAACAGAAAACCGACGACAAGGCCCAGTGAATGATCCCAAGATGCAGATGGCCAACGAGACGGCGAAATATAAACAAAACAAATGATGGGCAATCAAAACAAATCGCGCAATGATATGGTATACACGGGGGAGATGGGGGCACTGCTGCTCCCGAACTGCCGCCTTCAGCCAGGCGGGGCATAAAGCAAAATAGTGTGTAATTCAGCCTGCATTTTAATTTGGCCAAATGCAGACGTAACCCGAAGCCAGGCCAAAAGTTTCGTCAGTCGGGGTCTTGGGATGGGGGCTACAATTGCAATTACCTTGGCGGCAACGGCAGCCGAACACGCAACCAAGTCAGTAAGACGCTCGGGACGCGGACGTGCCAAGCGATCCACCGCCTAACGGCTAAACGGATCGAACCCTGAGACAAACCCCGACCAACCGAAATCTCTTGCGGCGGTAGGAAGGTGAGGCGAAACGAAAGACTTAGGCAAAAAACTTGATCGGCACGCGCCAAACTTTGAGTGGGATGATGGCGAGAGGGGGTGGGTTGGTTTGTTGCATTGGGGGCGTCGAACATATCGGCTCGATCAGCTGACTAACTTGGGCGAGTTGAGCTAGGTCGGCAAAATTTACACTGAGAGAAAAAATGTGGGACACTCTGTTTTAACGAAAATAAATATCCCAACTTTAAAAAAAGAGTGGAACAGAAATTAAAAAATACATAATAAATAAAAAGATATTCATACAAAATTAACCATATATAGATACATGTAGAAACCAGTATCATTAAATATATTTCAGTTGTAGAACTTGTAAAAAAGTAAAGTTTTTGAGGTACATCAACTTTTAAAAGCTAAAAAACATTTGGTTATTTATTTTATACAAATTTGATAGACAGAAACAATTATTACCTTACCTTACCTTACCTTACTTTAAATATACAAATCCATAGTAAAAATGTAAATTATTATATATTAAACGTAGCTTAAGCCCACACTAGATATAGCTGCAATAAAAAAAAACGTAGGGTATACATAGTTAATTTACAATTGCCTTTTAACCTGAGAGTAAATAAATAAATAAAATATTCAAATATATACAAATATTTAAGTAAAATAACATAATCTTGTGCCTTAAAACCAAAATCACGATTTTCATTACTTGCAGTGCACCTCACAAGATAATCACACAAGTGGCATATATATTACATTCAAATCTTAAGCGAAAAACAAGAAACTCCGAGCAGCCTTAGCCCGGCTTAAATCCCCACTTAAGCTGATTACCTACCATCCACAAGCTCGCGATCCACAAGCACCGGCTCGAACAAGTTGCCCCGCAGATCGTGGCTGCCATTCGAGCCTAGCTCACTCCATTCTGCCTACGAATCTGCCAGTCGAGCGACGAATCCCAAGCCAGACGGTTGAAATATCAGATTGTTGGTGCCGCGCATACCCCCAAGATCAAGTGATCCGATCCGGAATACCCGTGCTTAAACACTTGTGCTCTCCGTGGGAACTAGTCCCTCTAATAAAAGCGATCCAAAGGATACCGGCGGAACAAACGGAGTGCCGAGAAGCGCCGCACGTACATAACTGCCAAGTGTGACGAAAGCGGGAGAAAAAAGATAGTGGCGACGTAACCGTTACGCTTAAGTGCAAGCAACTGTTGCATTTGCCAATTTGCCCCATTTTGTGTGTCCGACTGAGCGTGAGTCAGTTGGCCAGTGAGTGAGTGAGTGCCTGGAGTGAGTGTCGAAGTGAGTGTCGCCTTGAGTGTCTGGAGTGTCTGCGCTGCGATTGCTCCGGTTTCGGCCTTCCGATGCGGCCCACCGTCGAGGTCAAGGGTCGCCTGCTGATGACCCTGCTGCTGCACTGCCTCGTGGCTCTGGAGGTCTGCGGACGGGCCGGCGCCTTCACGCTGCTCTCGCCCTTCAGCTACACCTCGCTGAGCTTTAAGAACCTGCTTAACTCCGTCCTGCTGTCGAGCAACGCCAACCTGGCCGGTGGCGGTCGAAACCTCAAGTCGGACGTCCTCGAGGACGCCTCCCTCATCACGGTAAGTCCTGCGGAGTTGTAGGAACAACGATGAGGGTATCAAAGATCCATCGATTCTTTCTAATGGTCTACGATCGGGCTCTTGGGTTTCTTTAAATATTTCTTTTATGACAACTGTCTGAGAATAAAGAGGTTTCAGCCTGCAATTATAATTGTGTACCAGCAAACTATGATAAAAATGCATGGTCTGTAACGCATAATGCAATTTTACATTTCGGACTCTGAACTTCGAATTTTTGCCATACGCAACTTAAAATATTACAGCGACTAATCGATTTCCTGCAGATTTTATGTAGTAAGCATTTTTTGTAGTAAATGTAATATATATATCATATCATATCATTGATATGTATTCAATACAACTCAGTATTCTGTTTATCATCTTTCCTAATGCTAACGGCATGACATTTAAATTTCAACTACCTATATGAAAATAATTTTTACTACAAATCATTAAACTACTATAGTATCGAAATGTTAGAAAAACCCGAAATGAGATTTTTATGGATTCATTGATTGCCTACAGAATCCGTAGGCACTGTAATCTTCAGAACAATTAGGAACATTTCCTTAGAAAACTACATTGGCGATATTTTTATATAAAAGTATTGGGGTAACAGTAATTACTTTCAATGTAGAATACGTATAGTTGGTAAATATATTTTTGGCATTAAGTATAAACTAATAGCGTAAAGCAGCGTGTAAAGGCCTTTGAATTTAGTTGAGTCGTAAACATTTTTCTACCACAGGTGATGAATATAAGTTTAATCGACCATGGTACAAATTTGTGTACAGGTTATTTGTAAAATGTTAAAAATCCAAATAAGCACAAAACTACGATTGTGAAAATATTATTTTTGAAGAGAATTTATAAACTCAAAATATAAAGATCGTTAGGCGGCTCGGTAGTTTGACTTTC